CACTTGTGAAAAAAAGAATAATTTCCTGTTTTGTTTTGTAGCGGACTTTATGGAGAAGAGTTTACCCAAACCTGACCTCGCCACCATTCGTCGGAGCGTGGCGGAGGTGAAGATGCTCAAGACAAGCTAGACTGCGTATAAAAAACAGTCGGAGCGTCTGCAGACGATGAGCAAGGCAGGTTAGCCTTCTGCCAAAAAGTATGAGACAGAGGAGGGGACCTCCCTACTGCCAAGAAAAAGGTCCGCCGGCCCAACTGTAGCCCCCACCCCTGCAGCGTCTTCTCCTCCCCCGACCGACTTGGGGTTTAGTATGGCGGCCCCACCCTCTGCCCAGGCCATCGTGCCCATTACTGCGTATTTTGTTGAAGGGGCGACCAAGAAGAGGTAGAAGAGGCCAGCTAGTGCGACGGCCAGGGGCAAAGTCACTGATTTTTTGGGGAACAAGGACAAAGATCTGTCCGAGGTGGTGCTGGAGATGCTCCCAACAGAAATCGCATCGGCCGCAAGGGTCCACAGTAAATACTGGACCGAAGACTGGGCCAACCACGCCGCCTCGTGTGACATCGAGGACCTGCTGGCGGCGAACAACGGTTGCGTGGCCAGGGCCCTAAGTATTGGCGCTGCGGCCGAAGATTTGGTGCGGGGCCTCCGGAAGAAAAACGAGGACCTGGAGAAAAGGGTAGAAGCCTCTTCTAACTGGGAGGCGGAGGTGGAGAAGGCGAAGAAGGAGCTGGAGGAGGTGGAGGAGAAGTGGATATTGACCTTCTCGAAACTGGATTCGGTTGAATACGAGGCCAATCGCCTGAAGCATGAGTTGCATGAGTCCGTCTCTCAAGTGGTGGCTCTGACAAAGAAGGTGGATCAGGCCAATGACTGCCAGAAGCTCACATCTGAAGCCCTTGAGGAGGCCAACAAGGAAAGGGTTGAGCTGAGGAAGCTTACTGAAGGCCAGGCCGATGAGATAAACTCGTTGAAGGCCGAAGCTAAGACAATTGGCGAAGTGGAGATCCAGAACTATAAGGACAACTTTGAGAATACGCCGGAGTATGACGAATTCGCCAATTATTGGACCTCCTGGGCGGCAAAAGAGATGATGTCCCTCCTCCGTGAGAGGCATCCCGACCTGGACATCAATTTCCTAGAATAAGAGTTCGGGGGCCCCACTGGGGGCAGGCCATCGAGGACGAAGAGGCCTCTCTCGAGGAGGCCGAAGGCGAGGAGCCCGAGGCAGTAATTAATGTAGATTAGTTCGCAACTCTTTTCTTTTTATATGTAATGGCTTCGGCCTCTTCCTACCTGACAATGATTCAATTTTTCAAAGTGTTGTTGCTTCTTCTCTTGTTCATTTGCTGCATTACCTTGTAGAATGGCTCCAAACAAATAATATCGCATCGGACTTTCAACCACTTAATAAAATGGAAGAAACCAATGAACAAGTAA